AGCAGATGTTTCTCTCTCTCCCTCTCTCTCTCTCTCTCTCTCTCTCCTCTCTCTCTCCCTTCCTCTCTCTGAAGTCAGTCAGAACATATTTAAAAGCGTTTCGTTTTTATAAATAGCGATCTATTTGGGTATTTCCTATCACCGTTGTAGACACCTGCCCATTCTCATGGTTTCTCATCAAACAGAATTAAAAAATATATTTTATTGGTTTTTTTACAGAGAGGAAGGGAGAGGGATAGAGGGTCAGAAACATCGATGAGAGAGAAACATCCACCAGCCGCCTCCTGCACACCCCCTCTGGGGATGTGCCCGCAACCAAGGTCCATGCCCTTGACCGGAATCGAACCCGGGACCCTTCAGTCCTCAGGCCGACGCTCTATCCGCTGAGCCACACCGGTTTCGGCGGTATATTGTTAATAACTGAATTAGGGGACTCCTGAGCTGGCCTTTGCTAAACACTCAAGGGGCCAAAGAGCCACATGTGGCTCTCAAGCCGACCACTGGCCTAGACCCCAATATTATTCCTCATCGGTAACTTTTTTTTTTTTTTTAAATGCATTCCATTTCTCATGCCAAAACCGGTTTGGCTCAATGGATAGAGCGTCGGCTTGGGGACTGAAGGGTCCCGGGTTCGATTCCGGTCAAGGGCATGTACCTTGGTTGCGGGCACATCCCCAGTAGGGGGTGTGCAAGAGGCAGCTGATCGATGATTCTCTCTCATCGATGTTTCTAGCTCTCTATCTCTCTCCCTTCCTCTCTGTACAAAATCAATAAAATATATTAAAAAAAAATAAATGCATTCCATTTCTCGATTGACTTAGCAATGACTCTGATTTTTTAGAATATAGAAATCACCCTTCACGTGAATTCGTTAGTGGCCTTTCCATTTGAATTGTATGTAGAAAGCAGTGGCACCACCTCTCCCAGCTGCCTTTGAATGAACGGTGCACGTGAGCCATTTCAAGCGGGCAGTTACGTGCGCTGCGGTTTCAGTTTGAATGAACTGTGAACATGTGGCTTTTTTTTTTTTTTTTTTTAATTCAGTGCTCCGATGCCCTACCTGATCGGAGTTCACTCCAGCCTGCTAGAGGTGAGTATCCGTCAGCCAGAAGAGAGTGGTCAATGCACTCCAAAAAATAACGGTTTACACTGCTGTGCCTCGAAAGATTATCCGGCGACCAGCACAAAGGGGCGACTCGCTTTAGATCATCCTCACGTGGCCATTTTTTAAAAGGTACCACAGAAGTAACATCAATGACATTTTTTTTTATACCAAATGAGCATCTTCAATGACACGAAACCCATGAAAATAGGTTACACGTGGCCCTAACCGGTGTGGCTCAGTGGGTAGGGCGTCGATCTGTGGCTGAAGGTGTAGTGTTTTTTAAAATATGTTTTATTGATTTTTTTACAGAGAGGAAGGGAGAGGGAGAGAGAGTTAGAAACATCAATGAGAGACGCCGAAACCGGTGTGGCTCAGTGGATAGAGCGTCGGCTTGGGGACTGAAGGGACCCGGGTTCGATTCCGGTCAAGGGCATGTGCCTTGGCTGCGGGCATATCCCCAGTAGGGGGTGTGCAAGAGGCAGCTGGTCGATGACTCTCTCTCATCGATGTTTCTAGCTCTCTATCTCTCTCCCTTCCTCTCTGTACAAAATCAATAAACATATATTTAAAAAAAATAAAAGAAAAAAGAAAAAGAAACACCAGTGAGAGAAAATCATTGATCAGCTGCCTCCTGCACACCCCCCACTGGGGATGTGCCTGCAACCGAGGTACTTGCCCTTGCCCTTGACCGGAATCAAACCCGGGACCCTTCAGTCCACAGGCCGATGCTCTACCCACTGAGCCACACCAGTCAGGGCTACTTACATGCTTTATAGGTGAGGCTGAAGTGAGTAACGTTTCGCATCTTAATCGGCTGCAATTGCAACGATTTTTTTTTTTTTTAAAGGAAAGATCACATAATCTCTCATTCTCTCTCTCAGTCAAGGCCGTTCAAGACTTGTAAACATCTTTGTTCGAAGCTCTGAGACGAGTGACCTTTTCCGTCTTCCTTTTAATTATTTCCCTGTAATCGTGAGCATAAAAGAGGGCCAGCATCTCTTTTGAAAGCGGGGGAACTCTTTCCAAAGAAGGGATCGGGACGTTTTGTTCTGCTCGCAAACCGGACGGGAGGGATGCTCCCGAGACTGGCGGAGGCCGGTGGGCGATTAGGAACTAAAAAGTGTGTAAGGTCCACATGGGAGATTACGGCTTTCTTATGAACAAAATAACCCTATACTAACGACGGCCATCTTGCAAGCACATTTAAAATTCGCAGAGACTTGAAATCCTGAATGAATCAGAGAAATTTTAGTCCTGTCTAACTTTAAAATGAAATAATTGGTCTGGCCAATTTAAAATGCAAAGGATTTCAATCATTCTCAAAAAAAAAAAAAATGGTGAGTATTCCGGAATGTCACCTTAGAAATAAGATGCTGACGTTAACTGACTTATTGCTAGGGGACCCATACAGTTATGGGGTTCTGAGTTGGCGGATACATGTTATTCAAGACCCCCTTGTTTGCATTAGGGAATAAGACACGTTGCTACCCTGTTTCCCCGAAAATAAGGCAGTGTCTTATATTAATTTTTTCTCGCAAAGTTGCGCTAGGTCTTATTTTCAGGGGATGTCTTATTTGCGGGGAAACACGGTATCATCCATAAAAGACTAATGGAATTCTATGATGTAAGCATACATGTTTTAGATGAAATAGGAACCATAAGCTTCAAATATTTTCTTTCTTTAGGGATGAAAATTTCTATGAAATTCTAATTCCCTGTTACGTGTACACACACTGAGACAGTTTGACAATTGACTAAACTGTCAAACCAACAAGTAACCAGTTCATCGGATAGGCTGTGCAATCCGATCTTTTGCATGGAAATGCATGTGCGAAATGCGACCGAGAATGATTTCCACATGACGTCCCTCTCTGTCATTTTTTTTTTTTTTAAATTTGACTTTGTCGTCCTAAACTTACACCAAACCGAAATGGAAAAACAGAGAGAACACTGGCAGCTGTAAACGTTGGTTGGCTTACGTTAGACCTCCGTTATGATTTCTGCTAAAAAAAAAAAAATAGGTATAGAACTGGACACGCACCTATATCAAAGATCGAAATTCACTTCATCAAATGGAAAGAAGAGAACCCTGCACAGTGTAATCTAACCATGCCCACTTTGCAAGCCTTCGCGGTGAGGTACCTTCGGTCGCCAAATGACATCCATCTCCTCCAAACCACGTCAGTAGGGTGAGAGGCGTAGACAGACCCGTGATGCATTTTCAACCCAACCTTTCTGAATAGTTAGATAGGAGATATTTTTTCTCATAAAGCCAAGTTGTTTACGTTCTTTTATTTATTTATTTTTAAGAGACCTACTGGTTTTATTTCATTTTTTATCTTAAAATACATTGTATTGATTATTTTCTACAGAGAGGAAGAGTTAGAAACATCGATGAGAGAGAAACACCCATCAGCTGCCCCCTGCGCACCCCCCGCACTGGGGATGTGCCCGCCACCGAGGTCCATGCCCTTGACCGGAATCGAACCCGGGACCCTTCCGTCCTCAGGCCGACGCTCTATCCACGGAGCCACACCGGCTTCGGCTGTTTACGTTCTTTTGTGATGGAGGATTTACCCTTATTTCTCTCAGACTCACGCCTTCATGATCCTCTTCTCTGTCCTTTCTAAGCTGGGGGTAGCTTTTGGAGGGACAGATAACCCCGAGCTGTCTTGCTGATCAGAGCTGTTGTTTTGAAACAGAGAGTGAGGAGCAAGTCCCTGGAGGACGTGGTGATCCTCAACGTGGACACCAACACGTGGGAGTCGCCGTTCCACGACCTGGACAGCCTTCCCAGCGACGTGGTGAGTCCGGGGGGGGGGGGGGGACGGCTGAGCTGTCCCCGCGCGTCTTCATCGTTAACCCGTTTCCCCGAAAATAAGACAGTGTCCCCTGTGAATGTTTGCTCCCAGAGACGCGCTAGGTCTTATGTCCAGGGGATGTGTCTTATTTTCCCACGAGGAAGAACACGGTACACAATGATGGTGAAATGAAAAATAAAGGACATGTATTCCCTGTCGACGGTACGGCAGGACGGTGGTTGTCCGCACCAACCAGACACACTGTGAATCCTACAGGATCAAGAATGCACCCATTTATCCAGTGACAGTCATGTCATCCTCTTCTGGAACATCATCCTCACCATCCAATTGCTGAATTTCCTGGTGAATGTGGCTCCGTTTCTTTCAGAATCAGTGGACCACATCTCTCATGTTTAGCCTGGGGGGAGAGGGCTTATTTTCGGGGGGATGCCTCATATTTCACTCAGAAGGAAGCCTGTCAGTAGGTCTTATTTTCGGGGAAACACCGTATTACCATCGACACGTCGGCAAGTAACTTGAACAGGTGTCTTCATTTCGGAAATACATAGGGACACTCCCCCACCCCCTTGTTGGGAAATGAAGCGAGAGGCAGGAAATCCGTCTCCTTGCGACGCTTACGAGGACATAACCGTCCACCAGCTCTTGCCCCTGAAGGCAGGACAGAATGGACATGGGGCAGTCACGTGCCTTCCACCCAAATGTCCTGATCTTCTCCTGAGATCCCCCCTCTCCATCCCCCACGTGTATAAACTCTGAGATCATGGGGGTCTGGCGTGTGCGTGTGTGTGTGCGGGGGGGCATCCTCCTGGGGTTGGGGGGTCTGCGTGTCCTATTTTTACCTCCTCGGCAGCTGGGGAGACGCCCAGAGGAGCAGCCCGCTCCTCCCCGGAGAAGCTGGCCCCTCATTAACGAGCCGGGCTCCTTCATTAGGCAGCGCTTCTCAGACAGGTTCCCCTCCACCCCCCCCCCCCCCCCGCCTTCTCCCTCTCCCTCTCATCCTCTTCATTATCCTCCAAAGCAGGCCTCGCTGCTGTCTGCCCGGTGGCATGTCTTGCCAGAGAAAACGGGGGGAGAGTCTTTTTTTTTTTTTGAAGGAAAAGAGAGAGAAGGAAGCCAATTACCGGGCCTCGCGTCCCCGCCACCTGCCAGCGCCCGTTCCTTTAATTAATGATCCGACGGAGGCCTGGGTCAGGCTCATCAGACATGCGGAGGGGCCCGGCGGGGTCAGGACACGCCGCCTTTGATCCCCCTCCCCATCTCCCCTCCCCTGGACGCTCCTGAAACATTTATTTGTTTTTTTTCCCCTAAATTTATTTCAGTTTGCGTTTTGTTTTCATCATCTTTCCCTCCCCCGGGCCGGTCCTGCTGGGGGCGGCGGGCAGGGAGCCCCACGCGGCCGGCCGGACGGCCTGGGCGTGGGGTTCTGTGTGTCCATGAAACGGCCGCCCCGTTTGTCATAAAAGGCAGCGGGGCCTTTTGAAAGGAGGGACGAGGGGACCGTCTCTGGGCCGGGAAAGGCTGATGAATGAAGTGCCGGGTCTTTGATCTTGGCAGAGGGCGCGTGTGTGTGTGCGTGTGCGTGTGTGTGTGTGTGTGTGTACGCGCACACGTGTGTGTCTGCAGCTTATCACAGGCTGGGTTCTGTATTCCGTGTTACACCGTCGCCCAAAGTGCGCTTGATTGCCTTTGTGTGCTGACGACAGGACCCTGGCCCAAAAGATATACGCAGGCCGGGATTGCTTCTGAGCGGCAGCTGAAAGATAATCTTTAGAGCCTCGTGCGAGGTTAAAAGAGACGGCTCCCCCCACCCCCCCTTTTTAAAAAAAAAAATTAAAATCCATTCTCTTCAGAGGTATTAAAACAGGAGAAGAAACAAAACCTCCAGAATATATTATTTCCCCCACCCCCCCTGTCATACGGCAAGTGTGTTTGAAATCATGGTGAGGGACTTTGGCAAAAAGGGAATTTTTAAAAATATCTCGTACTCCACACACACACACACACACACACACACACACACACACACACACACAAAATACAGTGAAACTAAACCTGATTGTGTTTATGGCTCGGGATAGGGAGATGGGGCTTGAAGTCCAAATCGGGCGGCCGGGGCGTATAAATAAATAAATAACCCCGAAAGCTGGCTGACCTTGAGGCAAATTAAACCGAACCTCTTTATCGGAGCAAAGTGAAAGGAGTGCTACGGACGGGACAGACCCGCACCCCGCTCGGCGGAGAGTGTTGTTGTGTTCTGAGCTCGTTATAGCTCGATTGCCTCATTATAAAAAAATTTCGCGGAAGCCGCTAGGAATGATTAGAGCTATTCGGCTGGAAATCCGTCAAAGCCCCCCCTCGCCAGGCAGAGACATAATTATGAAAATGAAGGCCCAACTTTTAAGAGTGTTTTCTTTATGTGCGGGTATTCCCTGCTCGTGAAACCCTAAGGAGGAAGGATTGTTTAGTTTAAAAAAAAAGAAAGAAAGAAAGAAAGAAGAAGAAGAAGAAGAAGAAGAAGAAGAAGAAGAAGAAGACGACGACGACAGAGGAGAAGGAGGAGGAGGAAAAATGGGAGAGAAATCAGCGTTTTTTTTATTTGTGTCACAATAAAATTTGTAGTCCCGTTAACGATGGCTCCTTCTCTCTTGGAGAGAAAGAATCTTTCAAGGTAATTGTTTTGATGGGTGGTTCTTTTTTTTTCTTTTTTTTTTAAATATATGTTATTGATTTTTTACAGAGAGGAAGGGAGAGAGATAGTTAGAAACATCGGTCAGCTGCCTCCTGCACGCCCCCCTACTGGGGATGTGCCCGCCACCAAGGTGCATGCCCTTGATCGGAATCGAACGGGGGGACCCTTCAGTCCGCAGGCCGAGGCTCCATCCACTGAGCCAAACCGATTTTGGCTCCTACTTATTGTCTTAAAAATGTTGCAGATGGCTGCTCCACCATCTCTCACACATGTAGCTTCATCCTTCTCTTTCCCTACGCCGTCTCATACAGCAGGGAAGGGGACAGGATCACGTATGAATCCCTCTGCCCCAGTATATTTTCCCCCTGTAATGCGGCACATGTTTGAAATCATGATGAGGGAGTTTTAAAAGATGGGATTCAAAAAAACTCATACTCAAAAAATATTAAAAAAAACAACAACAACACACAGCTGAAACCGGTGTGGCTCCGGGGATAGACCGTCGGCCTGCAGACTGGAGGGTCCCGGGTTCGATTCCGGCCAAGGGCATGGGCCTTGGTTGCGGGCACATCCCCTGTGGGAGGTCTGCAGGAGGCAGCTGATGGATGTTTCTCTTTCATCGATGCTTCTAACTCTCTATCCCTCTCCCTTCCTCTCTGTAAAACATCAATAAAATATGTTTTTAAAAAAATACAGTAAAACTAACCCTGATGGTGCTTATGGCCCGTGATCGGAGAACAGGACTCTTAAGTCCACATCAGGTGCACATATGTATTCCCTGCCGGACATGCTTTCAGCGATGTCACCCCCATCCCGAAGTCCTGTGTGTGTGTGTGATGGGAGTTCATACACCGTGCCGAAACCGGTGTGGCTCAGTGGATAGAGCTTCAGCCTGCGGACTCAAGGGTCCCGGGTTCGACTCCGGTCAAGGGCATGTGCCTTGGTGGCGGGCACATCCCCAGTAGGAGGTGTGCAGGAGGCAGCTGATGGATGGTTCTCTCTCATCGATGTTTCTGGCTCTCTATCCCTCTCCCTTCCTCTCTGTAAAAAAAAAAAAAATCAATAAAATCTATTAAAAACAAAACAAAAACAGACCCGTGGCCCCCAAACCACGGGGACGCCCGGCGGGTGGCGTCTGGCGGTTCCATAAATTAGCTGGAGGTTCGACGGGGACCTTTTCAAACGGCCGCGGCGGCCGGATGGGCCGGGGGCCATGTGCTCCGGATTACGGGCCCGGCCGGGCCAGGGCCCCTGGGTCAGCGGTCACAGTCTCTCTTCCCGGGGACCCTGGGCTGTAATCTCCCTAATGGCTCCGTCCCCGCATTCGCACGTAATAGCGGGGATTTATGGGCTGCGAGAAATACGACCCACCGGTAGCCGTTCTGCTGCCGAGGACCTCAAAATTGGGGACATCAATCAGGCCCTTTGTGCGCCTCCGGGGAGTGGGATGGGGGCTGGGAGGGAGGGGGCCGGGGGCGGGCTCCCCCCTCTGGCTCCCGACAGGAACACTGCGTTTCCATTCCGTCATTTCACTGTGGATGTGGGCCGCCCCGGGGAAGCGGTCCCGCTGGTCTGATCGGGAGCGATTTGAACGAGATATCGATTATCGGCCCGGAATCGCCTTTGAGAACAAGCCCGGGGGCTCCGTGCCGAGGGGCTGTAGGGCCGTGGGGGTCTGTGAGAGCTTTGTGGGTTTGTGTTTTTTTTTGTCCGTGGGTTTTTGTTGCTGTTGTTTTTTTTTTTTATTTTTATTTTGTTAAACATTTGTATTTTTATTTAATTTTTTCTCTTTTTTGTTGTTGTTGTTGTTAAGGGATTCTATGGTGTCCATGTTGCTGTTTTTTTGTTTTGTTGTTGTTGTGTGTGTGTGTGTTGATTTTATTTGTTATTGGTGGATTTTATTTGTTATTGGCCAAATACAGAGACGTCCAAACCTATGTAGTTTTGAGTGTTTGGAAATTTAAAAAAAAGAGGCTATTTTAGGGCTATAAACAATATCCATTGAAGTTAGTATTATTGTGTTAGGTTTTATTTTAATTGTTTTTAATATATTTTATTGGTTTTTCACAGAGAGGAAGGGACAGGAATTGAGAGCTAGAAACATCGATGAGAGAGAAATATCGACCAGCTGCCTCCTGCACACCCCCCAACTGGGGATGTGCCCGCAACCAAGGTCCGTGCCCTTGACCGGAATTGAACCCGGGACCCTTCCGTCTGCAGGCCGACGCTCTATCCACTGAGCCACACCGGTTTTGGCGAGTTAACTCTTAAGATTCCCTAGACAAGCCTCTCCCCTTTCCAACCTTGTTACGGAAACATCCTACTGGCCTGTTTGATTTAAATTTGGATTTGCTGCCGGGCTGCTTCTCACCATGTCTAGAATCCCGCTGGAAAGTGATTTCCTATTTCATATACCGAGGGTGTGTGGAAAAGAGGTACATTTAGGAGTCAGCGTGCAGCTCTTGACAGGTGTGGCTCCGTGGATGGAGCGTCGGCCTTCGGACTGAAGGGTCCCGAGTTCGATTCCGGTCAAGGGCATGGACCTTGGTTGCGGGCACATCCCCGGCGGGATGTTTCCATCTCCCTCTTCCTCTCCCTTCCTCTCCGAAATCGTCAACACAAGTATCTTTTTAAACAAGTGACACAGAATGCTAATCCCATCCCATGCCCACCCTGCTTCAATTCACACTTGAAATAAAATGCGGATTCTTTAAAAAAAAAAAAAAAAAAAAAAGAATAAAATCAACTTCCTTCTGCATCCGGGGAGCATGGGCGGACGCGGGAGAGACCAGCTCCTGGAGGCAGCCTGCCCGCCCGGCCTTCCCGCCGGACGGTGACCACCATCCCAGCTCTGTCCTGCCTCCCGAACGCAGGCATAATTGGGCCCCTGGGGGCCTCCCCTCTGAGCAGATCAGACGGACGGTGGCTTTCCCGGGAAATGTCACCTGCAGGGCTGGCCGGGCCTTGCAGTCTGTGTTCCCGCCTCGTTAGCATTAAACAGAGTCGGTGCTAATGAGGCCGGCCCTTCCTGACAACGTCCTCGGCCAGAGGAGCCGGGACCAGGGACCACCGCGGGGGCGACAGAAAATAAAAAAAAAAATCCCTTCTCGCCCGGCTGGCGTGGCTCAGTGGTGTGGAGCATCGACCGAGGAACCGGGAGGTCACGGTTCGATTCCCGGTCAGGGCTCCAGGGGGCCGGTGTCAGGGTGACCGTGCCCCCGGGGGCCGGTGTCGGGGTGACCGTGCCCCTGGGGGCCGGTGTCGGGGTGACCGTGCTCCAGGGGGCCGGTGTCAGGGTGACCGTGCCCCCGGGGGCCGGTGGGTGTTGGGGGGCCGGGGTGTGTTGGGGTGACCGTGCCTCCCGGGGGGTGATGGGTGTCGGGGTGACCGTGCCCCCAGGGGCTGGTGTCGGGGTGACCGTGCCCCTGGGGGCCTGTGGGTGTTGGGGGGCCGGGGGTGTCGGGGTGACCGTGCCTCCCCGGGGAGATGATGGGTGTCGGGGTGACCGTGCCCCCGGGGGCCGGTGGGTGTTGGGGGGCCGGGGCTGTCGGGGTGACCATGCCTCCCCTCTGCCCGCAGGTCTCCGCCCTGAAGAGCAAGCTCAAGAAGCAGTCCACGGCCACGGGCGACGGCGTGGCCAGGGCCTTCCTGCGGGCGCAGGCCGCCCTGTTCGGCTGCTACCGGGACGCGCTGCGATACAAGCCTGTGAGCCGCCTTCCCGCTCCCTCATTGGCTTTAAAAAGAATACACGGGGGGGGGGGGGAGAACAGAGGGTGGGGGAAGGCTTTGGTGGGGGGAGCTATGGAGGAAGAAAAGAGGAACAATTGTAATAACCTGAGCAACGAAGATTTATTAAATTAAAATAAAATGGGAAGCTTGAAAAAAAGATATATATATGATTTTTCACAGAGAGGAAGAGAGAGGGAGAGAGAGCTAGAAACGTCGATGAGAGAGAAACATCGACCAGCCCCTCCTGCACACCCCCCACCGGGGATGTGCCCGCCACCAAGGTCCATGCCCTTGAGTGGAATCGAACCCGGGACCTTTCAGTCCGCAGGCCGACGCTCTATCCCCTGAGCCACACCGGTTTGGCAAATATATATATATATTTGTTTTCATTGATTTCAGAGAAGAAGGGAGAGGCAAAGAGAGAGAGAGAGACACACACACATCCATGAGGAGAGAGAATCCTGGGTCGGCTGCCTCCTGCACGCCTCCCACTGGGGAATCCAGCCCGCAACTCAGAGGCCTGTGCCCTGACCGGGAATCGAACCCTGAATCTCCCCAGCAGCAGGTCCCCCACAGCAATCTACTCTGCGGCCCCCCTCCCCCCCCCCGGAGCCAGCTGCTTCTGTGAGGTGGGAGGACAGAGGGGGCCTGGGAAAGCAGGGGTTACAGGCCTGGGGAGCGAGGCCAGGCGGGCAGGCGTGGGACCCCATTGTCGGGCTGTGAGGTCATCGCTAGTCAGTCCCCCAGAGACTGTGTTTGCCCCCGACCCATCCCAGCGGCTGGTCCCCCTGGCGGCCGGCGTTATGGGAAGGAGCGCTCACCTGTGTAGGAGTCCGCCCTGTCCGAGCTGGATGTGCTCACGTAGGGACAGGCAGGCTGGACCCCGTGGCTGTCCGGTGTCCCGTCCACGGACGCCCTGACCTTCTCTCTCTCTCTTCCCCAGGGGGAGCCCGTGAGCTTCTGCGAGGAGAGCTTCGTGAGGCACCGCTCCAGCCCCATGAAGCAGTTCCTGGAGACGGCCGTGAACCTGCAGCTGTTCAAGCAGGTGAGGGTGGGGCCCCCGCGTGGGGGGTTAGTGCCCTTCTGTGTCTTGGTCTATCCGGGGTGGCCGTACCACGGTCTGTGTGCACAGGGAGCTGTGAGGGTCAGATTAGCAGGTGAGGGTGGGGCCCTCGCGTGAGGGGTTAGTGCCCTTCTGTGTCTTGGTCTATCCGGGGGCGGCCGTACCACGGTCTGTGTGCACAGGGAGCTGTGAGGGTCAGATTAGCAGGTGAGGATGGGGCCCCCGTGTGGGGGGTTAGTGCCCTTCTGTGTCTTGGTCTGTCCGGGGACGGCCGTACCACGGTCTGTGTGCACAGGGAGCTGTGAGGGTCAGGTTCTAGGGCGGGTTCAAGGACGGAGTGGGCGGGTAGGAGATCGGACGCAAGCCTGTCAAGCTCAAAGGCTAACACGGGCCAGATCTGTGGTCGGCAAACTGCAGCTCGAGAGCCACCGGCGGCTCTCTGGCCCCTGGAGGGCGGCTCTTCCACAAAAGACCACGGCCTGGGCGAGTCTACGTTGAAGAAGTGGCGTTCGGAGAAGTTTAAGTTTAAAAAATGTGGCTCTCCAAAGAAATGTCCATCGTTGTGCTGTTGGTATTTGGCTCTGTGGGCGGATGAGATTGCCCGCCCCGGGGCCAGATAAATACCCCCGGTGGGGTGTGTGCAGGGGGCAGCTGGTCGATGCTTCTCTCTCATCGATGTTTCTGACTCTACCCCTCTCCCTTCCTCTCTGTAAAAAAATCAATAGAGGGGGCAAAAAAAAAAAAATCAGTAAAATATATTAAAAAAATAAAAAAATCAATAGAATACATTTTTAAAGAAAGATTAAAACAAACACACAAACAAACCTGTGTTTCACACGTTTCCGGATTCCCCAGTCGCAGGCTGTGTTTTTTTCTCTCTTTTTTAAAAAGTATATTTTATTGATTCTTTACAGAGGGGAAGGGAGAGGGACAGAGAGTCAGAAACATTGATGAGAGAGAAACATCCATCAGCCGCCTCCTGCACACCCCCTACCGGGGATGTGCCCGCCACCAAGGTCCATGCCCTTGACCGGAATGGATCCTGGGACCTTTCAGTCTGCAGGCCGACTCTATCCACTGAACCACACTGGCTTCGGCTGTGTTTTTCTTGACGGTCGACTCCTCAGCCTCCTTAGGCCTCTTCCCGTGAGTCAGCCTCCGCGTCCTGGCGTCGGCAGGGCCCTCCGGCCGGCGCTCACATTCCCCGATACCGAGAAATAAACAGAATGTAGCCGGGCGATAGCGGCCCCATTTGCACCGGCTCCTGCTCAGATAACGGGCTTGGAAAGCAGCCCAGACCCAGCTTCTTAAGCTCGCACCCTGACAGCTCCATCCTTTAGGCCGCTGCCTCCCCAGACTCCAGCCTCTCTCTCCAGGCCTCTCCCCCGGGTCCCTCAGCAGCACCTGTGTTGGTTTTTGACCCTCTCTACCCATTTTAAAAGGTTATTTTTAACCAACACCGGTGTGGCTCAGTGGATAGAGCGTCGGCCTGCGGACTGAAGGGTCCCGGGTTCGATGCCGATCAAGGGCATGGACCTTGGTGGCGGGCACATCCCCAGTAGGGGGTGTGCAAGAGGCGGCTGATGGATGATTCTCTCTCATCAGTGTTTCTAATTCTCTATCCCTCTCCCTTCCTCTCTGTAAAAAAAAAAAAAATCAATAGAATATATTAAAAAATAAAATAAAATGCATTTTTATTCATTTCAGAGAGGAAAAGGAGAGGGAGAGAGAGAGAGAAACATCCATGAGGAGAGGAAATCCTGGATCAGCTGCCTCCTACCGACGCCGCACTGGGGATGGAGCCCACAATCCGGGGGCACAGGCCCTGGACCGAGACTCGAACCCAGACCTCCTGGTTCCTAGGTGGACGCTCAACCCCTGAGCCACACCAGCCGGGCCTGGTGTCTGTCATCTTAAACCTGGGGTCTCCGTGTAAGGCCGTGCTGCATAGAGAGAGAATTTTCGGAGGCCCCGAGCCTGTCTGTGCTGTGCCCTGACCCACTTTCTCCAACGTTCACAAGACACCGGATCGGAGAGACGGGTCAGAAGCCAAACTCGGGTCCCCTTTCATGTCCGCCCGAGATTCCGGGAGACTTTAGAAAGCTTTTAACGTAACAATAAATTCTGATGAATCTCCACACCTTCCTATTCATCTTTTTTCTTTTTCTTTTTTTAAGAAACACGTAGTTGGTTGTTCACGGCCGGTAATTTATAGCCGAGATCAGAACATGCATGAGTGGGGGTGTGAGACACACCGGCCGCCGGAATGCATGCGAGGCGGCAGCTGCATCATCACACACGTGTTTCCCGGCGCGGAAAAGGACCACACGTGTCACGTGGCCCTGGGGGTATCAGCACAAGGACGCCTTTTCACACTTTAAAAAAAAAAATTATTTTTTAAATATATTTTATTGATTTTTTACAGAGAGGAAGAGAGAGGGATAGAGTTAGAAACATCGATGAGAGAGAAACATCCATCCGCTGCCTCCTGCACGCCCCCCACTGGGGATGCACCTGCAACCGAGGACCATGCCCTTGACCGGAATCGAACCCGGGGCCCTTCCGTCCGCAGGCCGACGGCGCTCTACCCACTGAGCCACACCGGCCAGGGCCTAAGCCTCACCGTTTAAAACGGAACGTGCCTGCCCCAGGCTCCCAGCCTCCCTCGCACCGTGTCAGCGTATTTCCCAGCACTCACCGCCTTCTCACGCACCAAGTCATCGATCACTAAGTTATTTCTCACTGTTCCTACCCTCGCCGCCCCTCTGCTCCCGCCCCTCCGCCAGCTGCTGAGGCCTCGCCAGGACGTGGACGTGGGTCTGTTTTATTCCTGCTCGTGTTCCGGGCGCTCAGAAAAGGGCCGCGAGGTGTTTACGGGGTGATTGACGTCACGGACGCTCCGGTCCGACGGCCATGACGTTGGGCAGGCTCCCGGCCGGGGAGAATTATTACGTGTCCGTCCGTCTGTCCGCCTGGCACTCCGGAGGGCGCTCCTGCCCCGCTGGCGCTGCTTTCGACCATCGGGTCTCCTGATCAGCGGCCCGGACGGGCTGCTCAGACCCTCCCCGGCTGCTCTGGCCACGGCGCGTCCGTGGCGTCTCCATGTAGCACGGCGTGACGGGGTGACGGTCACAGGATCCCGGGGAGGAAGTAAAGACAACGCTCTGTTCCACTCCTTCACCCTCTCTGTTCTCTGGATCCAGGCGCGAGGCCGGCCCCGCGCGGTCTCACTCGTGATCTATTGGGTCCTGTGTGTGTGCATATGTACGTATGTGTGCGTGTGTGCGCGTGTGTGCGCGTGTGTGCATGTGTACGTGTGTGTGCGTGTGTACGTGTGTGCGTGTATGTGTGTGTGCGTGTGTGTGTAGTGTTCTCATTCATTATATAACGGGTCGTGTGTGTGTGTGTAGTGTTCTCGTTATATATCGTGTTGTGTGTATGTGTGTGTAGTTTCTCACTCATTATATATCATGTTGTGTGTGTGTGTGTGTGTGTGTGTGTGTAGTGTTCTCACTCGTGATCTAGTGGGTCCTGTGTGTGTGTGTGTGCGCGTGTGTGCATGTGTGTGAGTGTGTGTGTGTGTGTAGTGTTCTCATTCTTTATATATCGGGTTGTGTGTGTGTGTGTGTCTGTCTGTGTGTGTGTGTGTGTGTCTGTGTGTGTGTGTGTAGTGTTCTCATTCGTTATATATCTGGTCCTGTGTGTGCGTGTGTGTGCGTGCGTGTGCGTGAGTGTGTGTGTGTGTGTGTGTGTGTGTGTGTAGTGTTCTCATTCGTTATATATCGGGTCCTGTGTGTGTGTGTGTGTGTGCGCGTGCGTGTGCGTGAGTGTGTGTGTGTGTGTGTGTGTGTGTGTACAGCGAGTCGCTGAGCCTCTCGCCGTTCACAGGTGGCCAGAAGGAGCTGATGACTCAATTTATTGGAACACGTTAGCGTGGTTTTCACTAACCTGCCAGGTTTAGGGAGCATTTATAAGGTGAAATATTTAAGTCAAGGCTACCTGGTTTTGTTATTTTTTAGCCCAAAGAAAGGGTCATTTAGAGACCCCTAGGAAATGAGAATATTTTGAAAGTAGTGTGTGTGTGTTTAGAATGCTTGTTTTTAAATTGCTAATGATTTCTGGCTCACTTATGAAGTGTATTTTTCTCTGGCTCGCCACGGCTGGAATTTGATTAGCTTAGTTACCTTCGTGGCCAAGAAGGGCTGCTAATAGGAGATGGTTGTGGGGGTTTGTGTGTGTGTGTGTGTGTGTGTGTGTTTTGTTTTGCAACGAGGTCATTTTCCCTCCGGGCTGAAAAGGCACCTGGGGGTGTGGTTGTGTCCAGGCCCGTGGTCTGCAAACCGCGGCTCGTGAGCCACCTGTGGCTCTCTGGCCCCTGGAGGGTGGCTCTTCCACCAAACCCCACGGCCCGGGCGGGTCTGTGCGGAAGACGTGGCGTCAGGAGACGTTTACGTGTAAACAGTGTGGCTCTCCAGAGGCATGTCCGTCGAGGTGCTGTTGGTATTTGGCTCTGCGGACGGGGAGTTTGCCGACCGTGGGGCTAGGTGGAGGCCCTTTATGAAGCCGCCGCTTTCCCCCACGGGCTGTGTTTCCGTTCACCATTCGTTTCCGTGCCTCGGTAGCCAAGCGTGTTCTTATCTTTTATTTTAATTTCTCTCTCACTGTGGAATGCCGGGGAGTGTTTAGAGGGGTGTGTGGCCCGTAACCAGCTTCACTTGGAGATGAGGGGTGAGGGAGGAAGCTGTGATTGAGTCAAAAATAGAAAAAGGTGCCGAAACCTGTGTGGCTCAGTGGATAGAGCGTTGGCCTGCGGACTGAAGGGTCCCGGGTTCGATTCCGGTCAAGGGCATGGGCCTTGGTTGCAGGTTCATCCCCGGTGGGGGGTGTGCAAGAGGGAGCTGATCGATGACTCTCTCTCATCGATGTTTCTAACTCTCTATCCCTCTCCCTTCCTCTGTGTAAAAAATCAATAAAATATATTTTTTACAAAATAGAAAAAGGGAGTTGAGAGAACGATTCCCCGTCAGCATTCCCGATTCGTCCCCCGTCCCAGTTCCCCCCAGAAGGACGGGGCGGCCTGTGTCTGTGCTGGGGTTTCTGATCCACGGGGGTGCACGCCCCCGGACCCCCATTCTCAACGGGCAGCCAGAGCATCCCCGGTCGGCCTGGTGGGTGTCCGGCTGTCCCCGGCCGGGTCCACCAGGCCGGCGATAAGGCTCGGCATTGCGTCAGCCGGTGATGGATGTGAGCTGGCTCCCCTCTGGGGTCAGCCGCACCCACCGCGTCCTCCCTCACCCCCAGGAACGCACCGTCGGCGGATAGCGGGGGATTTATCTCCCCTCGGACCCGAGCCGGCCGCTCCCGGTAAAAGGGGTGGATTATGTGCAGTAAACACAGAGAGGAGAACCTTTCAGGGAGTCCCGCGGGCTTAATCTCCTCTGGCCATGAAGGCCTTTCAGAGGATGCCTGCGTGATCCCCTTCGTCCGCGACGGATCGCTTTCCATTTGTCTTCCTGCTTCACCTCGTTTTTTTGTTTTGTTTTTCCCCCCAAAAGTGATACGTTGCCCGTCACATGCCATCCACCGGGTGTGATGGATAATGCCGAGCTTGGAATGCCTGCGAGCCGAATTTTGCAAGCACTTTCAACTGCTTTCCTTTTCTTTCTTTTCTTTCCTTTTTATTATTTTTTAAAAATTTATATTTTATTGATTTTTTTTACAGAGAGGAAGGGAGAGGGAGAGAGAGCTAGAAACATCGATGAGAGAGAATCATCGATCAGCCGTCTCCTGCCCATCCCCTCACTGGGGATGTGCCCGCAACCAAGGTCCATGCCCTTGACTGGAACCGAACCCGGGACCCTTCAGTCCGCAGGCCGACTCTCCGTCCACTGAGCCACACCGGTCTCGGCGTAGCTTATGTTTCTATTCGTATCTTCTGTTCCTACCTTTGATAAAAGCAAGCCCTTAATCTTAGGGGAAGGTGGCCAGATGGTCCCGCTTTTGGCGGGACAGTCCTGATTTCTAGCAATCTTTCCCGCGTCCCTCGGCGTTTTTTTTTATTTTTTTATTTTTTTTATTTTTAAAAAGCCCCGGTTTTTGGGCAGAATCCTTCCAATGTTTCCAATCTCTCCAAAACATCGGGCCTGTTTTAAGACGCCGCGGGACGCGGGGAGAATTGCTAGAAATCAGGGCTGTCCCGCCCAAAGCGGGACCCTCTGGCCAGCCCTGACCGTGACCCTCCCGCCTCTCTCTCTTCCCTTCCAGTTCATCGACGGGCGGCTGGCGAAGCTCAATGCGGGGAAGGGGTTCTCGGACGCCTTCGAGGAGGAGATCACGTCGGGGGGCTTTTCGGGAGGTAAGGAGGGCGTCCGGCGAGGAGGGTCCGTCCCCCAGAGGCCCCGTCCACCCCGTGTCCGGCAGCGGCGCCTCCATCCCCGCCATCTCCTCCTGATCCGGCGACGTGTCAGAGGCCCCTTCCTGCCTCCGAGGAGGGGCCGCGGGGGCGATGGTTCGGGTGATCGCCCCCTATTTCTTTTTTAAAAAAATATATTTTATTGATTTTTGACAGAGAGGAAGGGAGAGGGAGAGAGAGCTAGAAACATCGGTGAGAGAGAAACATCCATCAGCTGCCTCCTGCACACACCCCACTGGGGATGTGCCCGCAGCCAAGGCCCGTGCCCTTGACTGGAATCGAACCTGGGACCCTTGAGTCTGCAGGCCGACGCTCTATCCACTGAGCCACACCGGTTTTGGCTGGAAGCACTTACTTTTGGGGAGAAACTTAGTGGACTTGACTCTGCAGATGCTGAACCCGGAGTCCCCCGCCTCCCTGCCCCCTCCCTCGGCTCCTGGGCAAGGAGGAGAACAGCTTCAATGGGACTTTCATGTTAAAATAGACTTTTTTTTTTTTTTACTTTCCACCTCAGACAAGCAAAGGGTTGTCAGCTCCCGGACACATCGCCGGAGGCGCCTGTGGGGCACTGACACCAGCGCCGTCTCATTATCTCTGTGGCCCGTGGGGCTGCCGGCCCCGCCGGGAAGGGGGGCAACACGGTGACAGTGATGGGGGGACGGTGAGCCTTTATGTGGCTGGATGGTGGGTGGGTTTTCCACGTTTAAAAAAAGGACGGGCCGAAACCGGTGTGGCTCAGTGGATAGAGCGTCGGCCTGCGGACTGAAGGGCCCCGGGTTCGATTCCGGTCAAGGGCATGGACCTTGGTTGCGGGCACATCCCCGGTAGGAGGTGTGCATAGAGGCAGCTGATGGATGTCTCTCTCTTATCGATGTTTCTAGCTCTCTCTCCCTCTCCCTTCCTCTCTGTGAAAGAATCAATAAAATATATATATATTTTTTAAAATGGATGGGCGCTAGTGGTCGGCAAACCGCGGCTCTCGAGCCATAGGTGGCTCTTTGGCCCCTGGAGGGCGGCTCTTCCACAAAAACCCAACGGCCCAGGCGCGTCTGTGTGGAAGACGTGGCGCCAGGAGACGTTCACGTTTAAACAGTGTGGCTCTCCGGAGACACGTCAGTGGTTGTGCTGTTGGTAGTTGGCTCTGCGGACGGAGGAGTTTTCCAACCCCGGGGATGGGGAGAGCGGGCGCCTGGCTAGGAGGCTGAGGCTGTGTTTTCAGTGCGACTTCATGCCCACCGCTTTGTTGTTCTTGAAAATGCAAGAGGTTTTGAATTCTTCCTTTTCTTTGGTATATTTTAAAAAATTGATTTCAGAGAGGAAGGGAGAGAGAGATGAGAGAGAGAGAGAGAGAGAGAGAGAGAGAGAGAGAGAGAGAGAGAGAGAGAGAAACATCCATGGTGAGAGAGAACCATGGACCGGCTGCCTCCTGCACGCCCCACACTGGGGGAGAGAGAGAGAGAGAGAGAGAGAGAGAGAGAGAGAGAGAGAGATCCATGGTGAGAGAGAACCATGGACCGGCTGCCTCCTACACGCCCCACACTGGGGGGAGAGAGAGAGAGAGAGACACTGGGGGGAGAGAGAGAGAGAGAGAGAGAGAGAGAGAGAGAGAGAGAGAGAGAGAGAAACATCCATGGTGAGAGAGAACCATGGACCGGCGGCCTCCTGCACGCCCCCCACTGGGGATGGAGCCCACAACCCGGGCCTGTGCCCTGCCCGGGAATCGAACCTCCCGGTTCCTCGGTCGACACTCACCCACTGAGCCACACCAGCCGGGCAGTCCTGTTTTCCTTCTTGCCGAGGAATTTGAAAGGGTGGTAACGAACCATCCGTTTTCGTGTCAGTTTTTTGGCCGCCCCGGACAACTTAAGACCAATTTTCGTGTTTGGGGAGAAGATCCCACCGAGGCCTGGAATTTAAACAAACGCGTCCGGAGAGGCAGTCTCGGTGCAGGCCAGAGAGAGGTCCCGCCCCCGAGGGTGAGAGAGCCCTGTTTGGACGAACGAGAACTATGTGAAGAATTTTCTCCCCAAAATGCTGATTATTCCCATAATCCTGTTGCTCGAACAGAAGGCCTCGGGATTTTTTTTTTTTCTCCCTTTTTTTTCTTTTTGGCACTCGGATGCATTTTTTAAGGAGAAAAACAGCCTTTGGAAAAAGAAGGTTTTCAAAGAATAATGTGCTTGTCTCTTCACTTTTGTGGCAATAAGGAGCCTTAGATCTTAAAAGCACGAAATTTAAAGAGACATTTTAGACATTTAAAAATGTCCTTTAGACATTTTTTTCTTTTAAAACACACAAACAGGCTTCTAGCTAAATTATGCCGCATGCTTTCCTACCATCTTAAGCGGTTTTCTTAGGGATTCTTGTTTGCCCTGGGCCACAAAATTCCAGACTATTTTTTCTTTTAATATATTTTTATTGATTTCAGAGAGGAAGGGGGAAGAGGCAGAGAGAGAGAGAGAAACATCCATGATGAGAAGGAATCATGGATCGGCTGCCTCCTGCACGCCCCACCCTGGGGATCGAGCCTGCAGCCCGGGCCTGTGCCCCGACTGGGAATTGAACTGTGACCCCTCTGGTTCATAGGTCAACGTTCATAGGTCACGCCGGCTCAGTTAGATAGGGAGTGGCTGGCTCTGGCCTTTCAGAGCTTCAAGGTTGACCAGTTGAAGAAACTCAAGAAATGAAACAACAAAATTTAACAGCATCTCTTTTTTAAAAAAATATATTTTTTAATTGATTTTTTTACCAAGAGGAACAGAGAGTGAGAAACATCGATGAGAGAGAATCATCCATCAGCTGCCTCTTGCACACACCCACCTGGGGATGTGCCCGCCACCAAGGTCCATGCCCTTGACGGGAATCGAACCTGGGACCCTTCCGTCCGCAGGCCGACGCTCTGCCCACTGAGCCACCCCGGCTTTGGCTTAACAGTATCTTTTAACGTCTTGGCTTCCTACGTGAGTGAAGGAAAAAAAAACGTCTGTGCTCAAAACTGTCGATTACGGTCTGAAGAATTAGAACAGTTTATTCCTTCTCGTGGTATCCCCTGGGGCCCTCCACCCCAGTGCAGAAAAGCAAACGCTGCTCGCTGCATTCCTGGCAGTGCTCGCCGCCGATTCGTTCTGGCTGACGGCTTTATTTCTGGCCAGCTATGCCTGACATCTTCTTTCTGCCTTCCTCCAGGGAGCCCGAGGTCCTATCAGCAATGGGTCCACACGGTCAAGGTAACGAGAGAGGCTCTCCAAATCCTTCTTCCTCCGGCTCAGTCTGTGGGCGGGGGTCAGCCATCGCCTGCGACGGACGGGCCGTCTCTTCCCTGGGTTTAATGTCCTCCCGTGGGAATGTCTTTGTTGGATGCGTGTCTTTTAAAAAAAATATATGTATTTTATTGATTTTTTACAGAGATATAGGGAGAGGGACAGAGAGTTAGAAACCTTGATCAGCTGCCTCCTGCACACACTCCCTACTGGGGATGTGCCCGCAACCAAGGTCCATGCCCTTAAGCAGGATCGAACCCGGGACCCTTGAGTCCGCAGGCTGATGCTCTATCCACTGAGCCACACCGGTGAGGGCATATGCTTGTCTTTATGAATACGATTTCCAATGGAAAGCTTTTGTCCGGAGGCAGATGGCTTCCTTGGGAAAAAGCAAGAGTCCACTGCCCCCAGGAATTCTGTCCCAAAACAAGGAACTGGGTGGAGTAGTGAGAGTGGGTGGGAATTTTATTTTTTCCGGGACAGTTTTTTTTTTTGTTATTATTATTTGAATATATTTGTTTGTTTTTTTCAAATATAGAAAGCCCTCTTCCACAAATTGAGACTTGATGGGTCAACATGAAAACCAGTTTTGATTTATTTTTATTTTAAATGTGTTTTATTGATTTTTTTTTTTTTTTTTACAGAGAAGAAGGGAGAGGGATAGCGAGCTAGAAACATGGATGAGAGAGAAACATCCATCAGCTGCCTCTTGCACACCCCCTATTGGGAATGTGCCTGCAACCAAGGTCCATGCCCTTGACCGGAATCGAACCTGGGACCCTTCCGTCCGCAGGCCGACGCTCTATCCACTGAGCCACACCGGCAAGGGCTGTGATTTCTTTCCTATGATTTCTTTATCCCTGCAGTGGGCTTCACCTTCCAAGGTGAGCCCGGCCGGCGTGGCTCCATGGCAGAGCGTCCACCTAGGAACCAGGAGGTCAGGGTTCCATCCCGGCCGAGGCACAGGCCCGGGTGGTGGGCGCCGGCTCCAGTGGGGGGGCGTGCAGGAGGCCGCCGATCCATGCATCTCTCTCCTCATGGCTGTCCTGTAGGCCTTCGCTTAGCTGGTGGCGAGAGCTTTCTTTCTGGACTGGCGCCCGTGCTTGTGTCCGGGGCCGTCTGGTCAACCGTGGTTGGAAACGGGTGTCTGTGCTTCCTTTGCAGAAAGGGGGCGCCCTGTTCAACTCGGCCGTGACCAAAGCCACCCCGGCGATGCGGACGGCGTACAAATATGTGAGTCTCCCTCGGATGCGTCAACATCCCACCCGTCACATGTCACGGCGTGTTTTTAGCCGAGACCTGTGGGTCTAGAATGTGCCCTTACTTTCCTTTTATTGATAAATCTGATGTTCAAACATCAGAAATAACACTGAACCAAAGAAACCCAACTGCTCCGATGGTGTCATTATCTAGGGAAGAG